TTTTGTGTACATAAGTGAATCATTTTTATGTTATTCCACTTTATGTAATTTTCTAAAGAAAATCCAAGGGTGGAAGCCTTGGCTTCATTTTGGTGCAAAGTTTTTTAAATTTTTTTATTGCTATGGAAATTCATATTTGAGGAGGCTTTATCGAGGTGTGAAATACAAATCTCAACTCTGTTTTCCCTTGAAAAAAAAAATTGTATCAGCATTGTACTCAAACTATTGTTATATACCGAATATAAAGTTACTTTAAAATGAAATGGGCTATATTAAAGCTCCCCTAAAGAATATAAAACGAAAATAAAAGAAAAAAAATAATGAAATGACAAAAATCTAACCAGAATAATTTCTAACCGATTTCCATGATTTTTTTGTTTCATTTTATAGAGAATTTAATAATCTTTTAAATCACCGTGGGTGTAATCCACAAAAAAAGTGTATAGTTTTGCAGTAATTCACAAATAAAATTTCTTTTCCTTCATAATTTTTTTCCCTGAAATTTCGGGAGGATATGACTATTTTTTCCACTTGAATAACAAGGAAACATTCAAAATGTTGGCTTAATCTTGAGATTTGATGAAGAATTAACTAACGAGGGCACATTTTGAGGGAGTTATGAATTCTTTCATTATTATTATTTCAGAGTGAAAAGTTTCAAAACAAAGAACTAGAAAGAAAACATGAGACAAATCACAGCAGGTGTAATTGTAAACAACCTAATAATTCTACATTAGCTTGTACTGTTTTTTAAGAAGAGAGTAATACATTTTTTGGAGATATGAGGAGAGGAAGGTAGTTCATTCGCTATTGACCTACAGCTGATGGAACAGAATAAATAATTACCCGCCAGAGCCTGTCACAAACCATGTTCCATGAGAATAGAAGATTGCTTTTACTCACTAAATTACCTCATTCTTTTATAAATTTTAGGTGTCACTGTATAAAGAAAAATGTACTCCAAGTAATTTGTAAAACATTTTAGTAATAAGCAAATCTGTGCTTTTTCGGTGAATGGTTAACTTAGTAAGTCTCTTGGTTTCTCACTCGAAAACAGTTGTGGTCTAAAGTTTCTATAATATTCAGTATCAGCTTATAGCCCTGGATCCAGGGCCCAGAAATCGACCTGATCGTAGGCGAAGGTTTGAATGTAAATTACGAAAGTGTATGTTATTCTGAGTAAAAAGAACCTTGTCTGCCGTTCCAGAGTCACGTCTTTCAAAACTGGTGGCTGATTTAGAGAATATTAGGTCAGTAATTAGAGGATTGAAACGGGAAATCAATTGTGAGAAAAGATTATTTTTTTAACTTGCATATATGGGTTTAGACATGTAAAAAACAAAATTGCTAATGCGGGCCACCAAGGGAAACTTTTTACAGCCAAAAAATTCAGATTTTTTCACCTATAACTCCTAAACGATGCACCAAAGTGAAAAATGTATTATTTAATAGATTTTAAAGACCGTTAAATTATGTGTCGAATGAGTACATACACATTATAAATTGGTAATGCGGTAAGGTATAAAACCGCGGTCAATCAACGCTGATTTTTACCAAATTTGTCGAAAACTGAGACAAATTTACTACAAATGCTGCTGGATACTAGGAAATGAGTTCCTAAGAGGAAAAATCCATACAATCAAAGTTGTAAAGCATCAAATTTTACTTCCAGTGAGTACCAACTAATTTAATGTAGGTCACTTACTCCAAATAAAATCGGTAATCAACCCAATGGTTAGAAATTGTTACTGAAGGTAAACGTGATTTTCAATATTTCAACAGTATGGTTGTCTATTCTACTGAGCTATTTTTGTTTAAAGTCTTTTACATGCAGTATAAGCCTCTTTTCCACCTCTCAACAACAAAGGATTTTGATAAATGAATAAAGGAATAACGGATCCCGAATGGAAATATATAATTAGCCTACAATAAAAATGTCAGCACTCAGTGGATTCAAAATTTGATACTCTACAACTTTTTTTCTATGGGTTTTTCCTCTTGAACTCATTTTCATGTTACAGGGCCATTTATAGTAATTTGCCTTAGTTTTTGACAGATTCGGTAACAATCAGCATTGATTGACTGGTTTTATACCTTACAGCGTTACCAAATGATAAAGTTTATGTACTTGTTCGACACAAAATTTAACGGTCTTTAATCTATTAAATAATACATTTTTCACTTTGGTGCATCGTTTAGGAGTTAAAGGTGAAAAAATCTGATTTATTTGGTTGTAAAAAGTTTTTCCTTGGTGGCCCACGTTAGCAATCTTGGTTTTTACATGTCTAAACCCAAATGTGCAAGTAAAAAAATAAATCTTTTCTCACAATTGATTTCCCGTTTCGATCCTCTAATTACTGGCGTAATATTCTCTAAATCAGCCGTCATTTTTAAAAGCAGCAGCTTTGAAATGGCAGACAAGTTCTTTTTACTCAGAATAATATACACTTTCATAATTTATACTCAAATATTTGCCTGCGATCAGGTCAATTTTTGGGCCCTGGCTCCAGGACTATTATGAAATTGTTAGGATGCCCAAGTTCTAGTGAAGTTATAATGGAAAATATGATGATTTTCTGTTCTAATATTTTTTTTTGTTTCTTAGATGTTGACGATTTTAATAATGAAGAATAAAATGGTCTGGATGACAGTCAAGATTATTACAGAAAACACTGTAAAAAAAACTAATTATTTATTACTAGTTACAAATAAAACTGGAAGAGAAAAACCTGTAGGAAGTGCCTTTTTTAAAAAAAAAATTCCAACGTAAAAATTAAACTTTACAACTAAATAAATGTATCTGAAAAATAAATAGTTGAGTTCGCCCTGATCTTGGAAATCACCCAGATCATCTTTTCATAGATTATTAAATTGACTATTCCATGCTTCAATAGGGCAGAATATTAGGGTACTGGTGGAGGAAAGTAGTCCAGCAAGTGGGCCTATTATGGTCCTTTTTACCAACCTCTGACGGATACCTTGAGGTTGCTGCCGCATACTTACCAGAGTGGGAATGTCACGATCCATTTTCCGAGGCTGCCAAGAAATGAAAAGTAACCGACACAGTTGGGAATCGAACTCACAACGATCAGAACTGGGAACTCTGGAACCGATGCCCCAATGTGTTCGGCCATGCCGCCCTGTGATATTAATACTAAGTGTGTAAAAAAAAAAAAAAAATTGATCATGATTTAGTTCACATTTTATACCAGGGGGTCTCCAAACTGAACGCAAGCAATTTCAATCCGGTCCATGAAAGTTTTCTTGATTGCATCGGAAATTTTAAAAACATGAAATTTAGAAACTTATACACAAGGTTACCAAAACATTAATTGCTTAGGTTATTTTCTCTTAGAAAGCTCATTTCATGGCTAAAGTGTCACTTATAGAATAAGTATTTATTTTACATCACAAGCCATGGCATGCTTAAGTGGAGGTCTCAATGTGGCCAGAGGGACAACAAGTTTGGAGACCTTTGTCTTATACAAATAAAAAAACCTTCTTGTAAATTTAATATTACAATAGTAAAAAAAAAAAAAAAAAACTATTGCACACAAATTATGCAATGATTACAAACTTCTCTTTCATATTCAATATAATATAACCTTCCAAAATATGCCATTAGCCTTTAATGATGCAAAAAGAATAAGCAGATACATATTAGATGAACAATACATCCACTCTATTCAAACAAGATATAACAAAGATAAGATAATATGGATTATCAAATTTAAAAGTGAAACAGTTGTCCACATAAAGTGAGCTGGCAGAAATACAAAACGTTTCAAAATGTATCTAACTTCTAAAGAATTTACAGAAAGACTTGGAGGATTACTACTGAAATATATTATGTAAAATAACTTTGTTGGGCAAATGTATTCATATTTATAGGTAACATACCTCAATAAATCCTAGCATCATTCAATATTTTATTATTTATTTTTTAATAAAAAATGAATTGAAACTTTCAAATAATGCAGGTAATAATAATGTTAATTAATATATTACAACACTTATAACCAAAGGAAACAATATAACAATATAATTAAAGGAATAAAACATCAAAACTTATTTAGAAGCAAATTAATAGACAAGATTAATGAGATGGAGTTAATTAAAATAATATGGGAGGTAAAATATTACGCTCTATCAAACTAATTGTTCAAATACAAAGAAATTTAAAAATATTAATGCATCAGTTAATTAAAATAGGTGTTAACATTTAGAAACTCATTAATGGAGATTTGATTATTAAGAATGATAGCGAGTTCATCACAAATTAAATGTTTACATTTACAAGCAGGAATTGAATCAGCATCTGCACCAGACTTCTCCAAACCATTAAACAACACGAAATCCATAGTCACGGGGTGATTTAAAATTGTTCATTAATTAAATAAGAAGATAATAATGGATTGGGAGCATTTACACATAAATTAAATAAGATAAATTATTAATTGATTGGATAGTTACACAGAAAAAATATTTTAAGGATTTACTGAATTGAAAAGCCATAAAACAGCAATTGACAAACATCGAAATTGCTTCAACGTCTCTCAATTGCTGCTAACCTAATATAATCTTATACTGATGCATTCACATTAGTATAAGATTACATTATTGTAAAGAATAGAAATCAAGCATATAATAATTATAAATTAATGAAAAAAAAATTATACAAAAACATAAGAAGTAGGTTTGAGCAATCCAATAATGTCTAACAACTAATAGCGAAAGAAATAAAAGTACAAGCACATAAGAAATTTATTACTTTCGAAAATATTTTTTTCATTAAGGATTATTAGCATCTGAAGAAAAATGGCAACAGAAAATTTCAATTTAATTCAATAAAAGTAATAAAAAAATTGAAAAAGTAAATTACTTTAACATTAAGAGATTAAATGTAGAATAAAGAACACTGGACAAAGAACTTAAAACCTGTACATGTTAGGTCAATCATACAACCATAATGCAGTTAATAAGTGATGTTATTTATTTACCTTACACACTGCACAAACATAAACTAATGCTTTTTGAGCTGCTTTCTTTTGGTCGTTGGCACTATGCCCCTGCTGTCTTTTGGCTTTTGCTGCTTTTTCAGCAGCCTTCGCTTGAGACTGGATTTTTTGTTGTCCTCGAGCCATTACTCGTTTCTAAAATTGAAAAAACAGGAATCTATATTCACTTAACTGCTTTACTTAGAAAACTGAAGACAGGAATAAGATGAGTGAGTATTAAAAAACAAAACAAGACAATGCAAATTCACTCCGAACTGTGATCAATGCGTTCCCGACTGAAGCAATTCCTGAACTGAACCCTCACTCAACTTTCACATGGGTTATCAGCTACACATGTTTGCAATGGTTTGAAATTAATGATTTATCAACTATTGAAAATTTGCATTCACTTTACAAGAATTTGCTTAGAAAAATATCACGAACGATTTGATTTACATATAATATAGAAACATTATGTCAACTGAATCTAAAAAGACAAGATTACCAAAATATGGCGGGATCTTTGTGGCGCCTACCAGCTGGTTACCTGCCATCCTCGTTTGTAAACAGATACTTTGAACGAAAAATCGCACACTTATAAAATGACACTTTTCTAATTTTCTAAATTTTCATTCATTTGACTAGTTTTAAAAAAATGGAATCGAGTTTGATTAAAAAATATATGCAAAGCATAGAAGACTTTGTTTTTATTGAAGATAAAATTGTAAGTTGCTCATTATTTCTCAATCCCATAGATCCTACTTTTACAAGAATAACTGAAGTTTTGCCTAGTTATTTAATCCTACATAACCTCTACTTTAAATTAAATTTAAATAATATACCTGTCATTATTTTGTTAACATATGTATAATTGTTGGGAAAAGGAGACAGTTTCAAGTATTATTTTATTATCACTTATTTAATCTTTTTTTTTTTTTTTACGTTTGTTATAGTATTTAAGCATTGTAAAAATGTATATATTTATATATTATCATTCCCTCAAATATTTATTTCAGGTCACATATCTATGGTTGTGCCAAATTCTTAAGATTCATGTTAATACTGCAAAACAGTAAGTTCTGGAGATTTATTTATAAATACATATGTAAATAACTAAGAATGGAGGGAAATTTAGTTTGGCTTCGTTTAAATCTTCTGATGTTGAAAACTTACAGTTTATCAATCTACTTGTTTCTGCCATACAGGCTTATATTTTAGCCATTTAAATGTATATTCATGTATGATAGACATTTGACTTGTGGGATAGTTAAGATTTTCTAATCTAACAGAATTTTCTGGATTTTAATATATGCTGTGCATTTAATATTTTTCAACAAATTAAGTTAAACTGTAGCCTAGTCGTTCGTACATGGTGATGGTGCATGATCTGACCTACACTAATTTCATAAGTTGCAAGAAATGGTTTAAATTTGAAAATATATGAAAATAGCAGTCTGCAGCCCCTTGAGAGTTTTATTACTTTCACTTATTTGCAGTTTGTATCATGGGTCCTTTGTTGTAGCTACTAAACTAGAGGTTTACAGTTATAATGTAATAAGAATTGTAAAAATATTATGAAAAATCTTCTGGATGTTTATCCTTGTCAATTCACAGATAAAACTCAAATGACTGTAGATTCTAATTTCCAAATACATTTTGAAAAATGAATATTTTGCTAATTTCCCAACACTTCAATTTAAGATTAAGAATCATTTCATATTCTTTTCATTATACTGCTAGTATCATATTTTTCTTATCTATTGTTTCGAGTGATTTATAATCCTCAGAATAAACAATATATATAGTTTTTCTAAGATATGTGCAGGTTTTTTCCTGAGATATATTTTTTATAATTATTTTTTCTTCAGATTACTCCATGCATTTGCAACTGAACAAGATGCCAAGAACAGGCTGCTCATCACTTATGTTTTGGGTGGTGAGCTTAAAAATGGGAAAGGAAGGTTATTGAAGTTGGTAATTGGAGATTCTAAGGAAGCTGTGAAACAGCTTTTTTCTAAAATTACCACTGATCATATTTTTAGTATCCAGAGGTCTGGTGGTTCTTTTTCATCAACAGACATTTTCAATTCATTTCCACATTTCTCAGTATTACCAGAAATTAGAAGGTAATATTCTAGATTTACCACTAAATAATTACCAGATTTGAATATTTCTTAATTTATATAATTGTATGATGTCAACTAATTCATTCACTAGTTTAGTGAATATATTTGTTTGTATGTTGTTTTTCCCACTAATAAAATAGCATTTTATAAGATACTTTAAAGATATAAAACTGAGCTTAGAACTTTTTAAAGATATTTTAACTTTATTATTCAGTATTACAGATCTTAAATCTGTTTTGTATTAAGTTGGGTACTTTTCCGTTAGCCAGGTGCAAATGTCGCCAATTGTGAACCAAATGCTAGCCAAATCGCCAAGCGAAGCAAATGACAAAACAGTCAAATAATAAACAGTGGAATAAAGGTCTAAAACGTTCATCTATTAACAAATACTTCTTAATAGTAAGCAAAACAATTTAAACTATAAAGAAATATTAATGAATTATAAACAAAACAGTTTTAGCCAAAAAGGATACTTATAATTATTGGTTTTCCCGAATACGGTGATGTTCTTGAGAATTTACTCCAATGGATCGTTTACTCCTCGTCTCCATATAAATTCAGCGAGATACTACTCCAAATGATGGCAAGAAGTTCTCTGTTGTTTTTTATTTCTCCATTTGACACTGATTTTTTGAGTGCTTACACCAATGTCAGGATCAACAAAATTGTACCTGTGATTGACGTTAAAATGCTGTAGACTAGCTTCTTCCATTTTAGTTGTGCAGTAACCCTTCCAGAAATTGGAATAGTCGATTGACCCTTCTTCAATATAATTTGTTATCGCATCTAACAGTACTGGTAAAGAACGGTTTGGAACTTTAGTTATGCTTTACTAGAAAGCATTTGTCTCTTTCACGGCAAACGCCACCAAATATCTACTGTTGTTCTTTCGTTTTGTAAATAAGCTCTTGTCTATCTCAACTATTTTTGCAGGACCACTGATTTTTTTTGCTCACATTCTGCTAATACTTGTACACAAACTTCTCTTAAGTAGTTGTTCTAGTCTTCAACTGTATTATGATTCATATTTAGTTCTTTTTCACACAATTTGACTGATGCCATCTCTTCGCTTCAGAATTGATTAAATCTCAAAGATGTCAGAAAACTCAATCTTGATAATTCGAACCATATTCCATTGCGAATGCTCTTCTTCGTGCAGCCTATTGAAAGATTGCTGAAACATCGCCAACATGCTTTGTCACAAAATGACAGTTTCATTTCATGATTTTGATCGCATGTTACATTCTTTGCCAAAATACCTTTCTCTTGAAAAAAAGAGACTGCATCTTCTTTAGTTCTGGCTAAAATCCCAAATTTTCACCCTTTAAAAAAAAAAATTGAGATCGAAATAAAATAAAAGGAAAACATGTTTTGTTTTGAAAGAATTCAGAGTTAGAGCACATGGCCCCAAACAAATATGGTTGTAAGAAATAACCTTTGCAACAAACTATAATTTTCTTTGAAGTATATAAAATTAATATATATGTATATATAATATATAAACTGGACAATCCTCGTTTAGGATATCTATGGAAAGAAAAATGTATCTTTTTGGACTCAATCTTCGGCTAATTCAGTCCATATTAGAACCTTTTTAGAAATTTATTAAGTTCTAGCTGATGTGCCCATCGTTGACGGGCGTATAGTTAAAATTTGAGAATCTTTCTTTAGAGATGGATTTTATATTATGGGGGAAAAAGGGTCCAAATTCAATTTCATAAAATTGGGTCGGGAGGGAGGAGAGGGGTTGTTTTGAAATTTTTTGTGGCGGGGCTTATGGAAGTCAAAGTTTCGCTATAGTTATAAAAAACATTGTTATTCGGCTATTTGTTTAGATACCATACAACTAATCTGACCGCCATCGATCCATTAAAATTTGTTAAGTGTATAATTTTCATTTAGGATGATAGCGAGAAAATTGAGGAGTCCATTAATTATTCAAAAAGAGTTGTGGTCTCTCTACTTCTTTAAACTCTGCTGAGTTGTGATAATTTTTTCCATGAGATGGGTAGTACAACTTTTAAATGTGGCTCACGGTAGAGTAGGTTGAGATTAGAATCGAAGTAACTGCCTAATCGGGATCTTTAGACAAATTACTCAAGAATTCATTACTTTGGTTATGCTCAATATTTTGGTTTCATTTAAAGCCTATATCTTAAGTCAAGCACACCTACATGTAATGTCAAAATTTCAAAAGTTTACCATTAGGCATTGCCGAGCTTACCCCTGACAAAATTTCGTTGGACTATGCGGACATCCAGACAGACAAAAATTTTTTTAAAAGTGGATTTGGTGTCTGTAATGTATACAATGGAACGATATCATGAAATGGTTTGATTCTTGATTCAATGTACAGACAAAACCTTTTTTTTATTTATATAGATGTTCTATAACCTATAAACATATGTTTATTATTAACATTTATTATCAACATTAACCGAGATATCTAGACAAATCACTCAAGAATTCATAACTTTATTTATACTCAATATTTTGTTTTCATTTAAAGTATATGTTTTAAGTCAAGCAAATCTTAATAGAATATTAAAATTTCAAAAGTCTACAATAAGCCATTGCTTGGCTTACCTCTGACGAAATTTGTTGCAATGCAGACATACACACAGACAAAAAATTATATCATAAAACTGGATGATTCTATTCAATGTACAGACAAAATTTTTATTTTATTTATATAAATATTATAATATTGTTACTTATGTCAACATTAGTATTTATTTAACATCTGATGATAGAGTTGTTGAACTATGAACTTATCTATTGGATTGTTAATTACATACATTTTTTATTAACTAAAATTTTATTTGATTTGAAAAAAAAATAGCATTTAAGCTTATATTTTTTTGCTGTACTGACTATACTAATAATAACTTTTTAAGTAGCTTATCAAACTGTCGTCTTTCAATATAATTACTTTTTTTTAAATATCAGTATGTTTTAGTTTTTGTCCCGTACGCCCATCCAAGGAGATTGAAAAGAGGGAAATAAATCATATCACTGAAGCCAAGAATTTTCTTAACCCATCAGTACCAGTTAAGAAGCAAATTGTATCTAAGGTATGCCAAACCTTTGTTTTAAATCAATTCTCTGATTGAAATGCTGGTTGTCATTGTGATGTAACCATATCACTGGAAACAAAACATGGCAACACAATTTTGATTGAGATGTATCTTGTGCGAGGGTAATGTAGATCAGGAGTGCTTGCTTGTCTACTCCCTTGTGGTCTTTAATCACGTTATTGTGCCTTGGTGACCTATGATTGAACAAATGTTTTACCTAACTATAAACATTAACAATTTAACTTTGAAATTCCTAAATTCAGGCTGGCATATCTTGAAATTTAATAGATTAATAATATCCTGTCCACACAATTGTAGTAAGGGAAAAAAATGTTCTGAACTTAAGATTGTATCTTTTGCTGTCATCTCTTGCATCAAATTACATTTTATCATATCAGGTTTAATTATCTTAATTTGTATGGTTAATTGTTAACATTTATAACTACTATACATTTCTTTTGTACAAACTTTGTACATACAGAATAAAAAAAAATATATATATTATGACAGGTTTCTAGGCCAGAATTGAGCTTTATTTTTCTGTACATTTTAGTTATTCTTAAGGGACTTACACACAGAATAAAGTTGCTGTTTCTATTCTATTCAGCATTTAAAATTAAAGCCAAGACTTATAATACAAGAAATGTTCTTGGAATAGTGCTAGATAGTTCTTTCTTTACAATTTATAAATGTTTTTGATATATTTTTTATTTTTGTTCAAAGTTTATTTATTATTTGAGCCGAACACATTCAATCTGGAAATGATTTATTTTATACATATATTTGAAATTATTCATTTTTAGACTAATGGTAGTTTGAAAATCAGAGTCTATTGTGTTCTTATTTTTTACTTAATCTCTGAATAAAAATATTCAGTTAAAATGTATTTTATTAGGTTTTATAAATACATGTTAATATTACTCTATTTTATAAAGTAAAGTTGAATGAAGTTTGAGAAAACAATATACGTCATGCTATAGTTGACTCAGGTCACTCCCCCCAGTTCCCACCAAAACTTCCAGATGCACTGTTACCATAAGTTTTTAACTGAATATGAACCTATTTAATTTGAAAAGTGCAATCTCAATGTTATACATGTTCTTTATCAGTTGAATTTTATTGCTCAAATTTGTATGATTTTTTTTCCATGTAAGTAAACAATTGATGTCTAGTTCAATAAACTAATTATGAAGATCGATCAGATGTCTTCAATAAAAGTTTATGAATATTATTTTTTGTGATTTTTAGGAAACTGAAAGCTCCAAGAAAGAAGTTAAGAATGAAGAAAGTACTAAACCATCCAAAAGTGAAAATTCCACCGATAATGGTGAACCTCCTGCGAAACAAAAGAAAACATCTGGAAATGAAAAAGTTTGTTACTCTCTATTTATCATTATTGTTTGGTTCTTAATATCTTGTTTGCATTATTTCTTTTATTTACAGGATTTGAAGAGTAAAGGTGGTGTCATTGGTAGTTTCTTCAGTCGACAAGCAGAAAAGAAAAGCTCAGAACAGCTTGTTGGGAACAAAGGAAAATCAGAAAAAAAAGTTAGTCAAATTGATAAATATGATAATGGTCATAGATTTTTTTTTTTAAATTACATTTTTGAGCATAAGATATTATTTTAAAACCGAACAATTTTTTATTTTTTTTGACATAAAAGGAAGAAAAGCCAAGAACTGGAATTGGTGCATTCTTTAAACCAGGAAATAAGAATGATATTTCAAATAAAGAAGTTAAAGAAAATGAAATAACTCTCAAAGCAGAAACAAAAAAAGAGGTTAGTTTTTTATGTAAATATTTTTAATTTTATCGAATATAAGCCATGATTTTTTTAAGTTTTTATATTTCTTTTACAATGGAATTTTGTCTACCTTATTATTTTTGTTTTTGGTTTATGGCGTATTTTGATACATATTTTGAAGTTATGATGGCTGAGTATGTTGTGGTGTGGATCCCAGAGTACCCGATTCTGAACGTTATGGTTGGGGTCAATTAGTTTTCATTTCTTGGCAGCCCTGGGAATCTTGACACTTCCACTCCCGTAAATACCAGACGGTAACCTCTTGGCATGCATCAGGGGTTGGCAAAAAGAACCACGAGGCCCACTTGTCAGACTAATCCTGCCCACTAGTACCAGTACCAATACCATACCTATATATATTTTATAAAAAGAATAAAAGGAGACCAGAAATACATTATATATTTTATAACTTGTATCAAACATAAAATATTCTATTTTTTTTTTTTTTGGAAAACAAATATATTTGTCTATGCTGTTAATGTTCAGTAAAAAGCTGAATTCAACAAACAGGGTATTTTCATATTTTATTGTTTAAAAAACAATTTGTAGCTTGTATATTTTTCGGTCTCATTTGAAGATCATATCTTGTAACAATTTCGAAATACTTCATTTTCTAAAATGTCCTATAAAATAAGATATATGGCAAAAAGTGAATTGTTGGATTCATCCTTTTTACAGAACATGCGTTAATTAAGTAAAGCCGAAGTCAGGGATACGCGGCCTGAGTCCAAGGGCTGGATGAAGCAATGGTTTATTGGGCAGTCCAGAGGTACTGGAAGGCAGGAAGTGATGGTGATCAGGCCATCCAAAAGTGACAGTTCCAGCTGATAACCGCTTCATTGCTATGCAGACTCTCAGAAACGGCTACCAGACTTCAGGTGAGACTTCTCCTCAATTGTGTATTGCTTGTGGTTCAGATGTCAGCATGCACACAGTAAGAAAGGAGAAGGCTTGGTGAACTTAACTTGCACACTAGGATTCCCACTTGCAGATCTCTACTCATCACAGCACACTGAGATGCTCACCCTACTTTTCTTGTGAACCTGCTGCTTCGACAAAAGATGATTTGGTCTCTTCTGACATGTCCAGGTATAGCCTTTATGGTACAAACGTGTTCAAGTGTCGACCAGTAAGCAATATGCTCAGCACAACATAGCGAGAAGAGTGCAGTTCGGAGGAGGATCAGTGATGGTTTAAGATGGAATATGTTTATGAGTCAAGGGTAGACTTGCATGTGTTCCAAAGCCTGCCACTCAATACACGTACATACATTACCGACATCCTGGAGGAATATATTGTACCTTTTGGTCCGTTATTCGCCCTCCCGTTAATTTTTTAATGTTTATTTGTATAATCAAAAATTGTTTTATTTTATTGTTGTTATTACATTTTTTTATCTTTACAGAATGAAAAAAGAGAAGTACCAGAAGCAAAAAAACAGAATGGTGTTAAAGAACCTGTTAGTACAAACACTAAGGTAATATTAATAATGCATATTGGGTTTATGATTATATTTTTAAATAATTTATAATTTTTGATGATTGTGCTTTACCATTCCGGTAAAGCATGTATTTTCATAATAATTAAAAAATAATATATGTATATATTTACTTACTGAACTAATTTTCTTTACCAGATAAAATTTATCATTATATTACTGTTATACTTACAGTCACAATAATTATATTTCCTCAAAAAATTTAGTTTTGTAAATCTTGGAATTAACAGACTTTATAAATAATGAAATATTCATTTTACTTTTTAAACAAAAAAATAGTGCAGTATTAATTAACCTTTAATAATGAAAATGGTCTGCACTTTGTCTTTAAGGATAAAAAGCAGAAAAGTACCAAAGAAGGTAAAAGAAAACGTAAAAAGAAAGATGATGATGGAATGGAAAAGAAGCGACGAAAAAGGATTGTTTCTGCTCTTTCAAGTGACTCAGAGTCCAGTGGCAATGGTAAATGTCTTTGTTCTACTTGTGGTTGAAATCCAAGTATGTATCTTGTATTTTTTAATCTGAAAACATATTATTCACTTATATTCATTTGCTTTATTGCTTTCCTAAAGAAAACAGGATATATAGAACTCTTTTGTTTATGAGTTTCAATTTTATCTAATTATTATCTTGTTTAATAGTCCACTGCTTTATACAAGGTAATTTTTGTAACCCCAAAGGGGTTCACTATTATTATAATTAGTGTAAAATGTTCCCGAATATTTTATTCAGTTTTTTTTTCATTTAATGAAATCAAAATATAACCTTTTGCCATATTTTATTGACTTAAGTGTTTATCACTAGGTTTGCTCATGATGTATAATAATGCTGTAAAATACAGAAACCCATTGAAAGTTTATTTAATCAGTTATTGTTATTATTAAATTGATATTTGAACTTATCTAGTCTTGGCCTTCTCCACCTGTCTTTACCTTCAAAGCTCCAAAGTGATTTCATCAGTCAAATTATGTTATTACTGAATTATATTATTGACTCATCATAATCATGATTATAAATCTCCTAAAACTTTTATCTCTATATTGACTATAATTTTGATTCTGAATAATGAAAGAAAAATTTTAGCCATTCCCCAATTTAGCACCCACTGCAGTCATTGAAGAATATTAAGCATTGGAAATGGTCTAGAGCTGGTGAAAGGTTCTTATTATAGACTAGGAACCCGATAGATGTTGCCCAGGAAGGATGTTTCTTTAGGTTTTTGGCAAGAAACACATTCCTGCACAATATAATCATAGTTTCTTCACTCTGAAGGTTGCCAGGTTCAATTATTTTTTGATTTTTTAAAATTGGGTTAGGAGTGCCGGAATGAGGTACTTCAGGGTTCTGGAAACTGGAAAATGATACCGAAAATGAAGCGGCGCGAATGGTTATTTTTCTATTTTAATTTAAAGAAATAAATGAAAGACACTGTTTCACATATATATTTTGAAATTAGATGTCTGCTGATTTAACAGAACCCAAAATTGTTGAATCAAGTACCCATATGGACAATTTTTCTCAGCACCTTTTAGATTCTTTATTAATTAAAGAGATAACTACATATTTTAAATTTATTAAGAAGTTCTGTTAACATTTATAATTAATTTTCTTGTTCTGATTAAACAAACCAAATAACTAACTCCTTACTGTTAAATGATGTGATCCCAATTTTTAATTTATTGACAGGCAGGCAAAAAAAAAAAAACTTGTTAATGTACTAGTCTTATAGTTGTAGTCTAACATAATTTACATTTTTTATTATTTCATTATTTTAAAACAATGGAGATATAACTATCCAGATGATGGCTTAGTGGATTGATATTGTTTCAGAAACAAGTGACTGTGAAATGGAAGTAGAACCGGAGCAGCCGCCACCCCCACCAGTACTGGAGGAAGAAGAAGATATGATTCCTCCGACACCTGGAAGGAAACGTGTACGAAAGCAGATCGATAAAGTATCTATGGACGAAGATGGTTTTATCAGTGAGTATTGTGTGTGATATGTAATAATTATCTAATAAATTTATATTCTAATAAATAGAGCTATAAAGTTTGAACACACTAATCTCAGCAACTGCTGGTCAGATTTGAAAAATTCTTTTCGTGATAGACTGTTTACTGATTAAGGCTTTCGGCTTTATAAAATCAAGTTGCAACCAATAGAAAATGAACAATAATCTGAAAAAATGGTCTCTAATAGTAGATGAATAGTATTATCAGGGCTCGCACATTCTATATATATAATATATCATGTTAAACACGTATGGTGTTTTGATGTCTAACTTAATCTTTCTTCCAAGCTTGGGTATCTTTGGTTCCACATTATCATCCCTTAGGGAGTTCATTATGAAATTTAGTTAATCATGAAATTCTTTACCACTTTTTAATACTAGTTGCAATATGAAATAGTTAATTATATAGATAAAAAATAAACTTTATTCTGGGACAAGGTTTCTTAAAAATATTAATTATATACAAATAAACTGAAAACATATATATCTATCTCAAAACTACATTAATAAAAATGTAAACAGTATACACTACTTCTTCAGTGACATATAAACAAAAAAAAAGTAAAAACAGTTTGAGAATATAGATAATTGTAATGAAAAGAAAGAAACAGGTATCAAGAAAAACAAAAGGTTAGAAACACTATGAGTTAATTCTTAAAGTTAAAATTTAAACAATATTAATGATCATTCACTTAAATCAAAACTCCATTCATAAAATTAAAGAAATTATTGTAGAGCGTCCATTTGGGATGTGAGAAGGTATTGGTGAAGAAAATATTAAAATGTGGACATACAAGAGGCATGACCGATATTAGATGGCAGGGAATTCCAGAAGACAGTGGAGTGTGCAGGATAGGAACGTTCAAAGGTTCTATTGGAAGGGGTATAAAGGTCAGAAACACAGGATCATGTTTTCTGTGAATGGACTAAGGATTTAAATTGTAGGATACTGTATATGTAGGAAGGGTGCCAGGAGTTGATCGTTTGGAATAGTTAAGATCCAAGATAGTATTGTTGGCAGAAAGATCGGAATAACCACTCGTCATAAAGGTGAGACATACAAGACTGTCTCGAGGTACTGGGTACAAATCTTAATTTATTTCAAATAAAAAAAATTAAAGCCACAAACATTTAGGCATGTGCTCGCACACTCCATTTTGTGAAACTTGGTCACTTGAACTTTAAAAAGTGTAATTCTATTAAAAACTCGAATTTAAAAATTTTCTAGATAAGTTATGACTAGTTTAATCCCAATTACTGTTTATTTTTTAATTTAATGTAGCTTTTTTTAAACAATTTCAATAAATAAAAAATAAATTTTTACAATAAATCATGAACTTTATTTTAAAAATGTTCCTTAGAACTTTTATTTTAAATACATTTTTCCAAATAAATTTCACCAAAACAGTTAAAATGGAATTTTTAATATAAATTTCAAGCTCTGTTATATTCATATTCGAAATTAGGTACTAGTTTCAGTAGAGCGATTAACAGCTTATGGACACAGGAAACTGTTTTAAACATGGTAAAAAAGAGATAATTTTAAATTTAAACTAAACTTTAGACTGCCAATTATACTGATAGAACTATAGAATGCTGTTTAAAAATTTATAGATCTAAAGAGCTGATAAGTAAGGATAGGATATTGTAGTCTCTATCACTAGCAAGTGATCCTTACCTAAATGGCCCATCAGACCGGGGGCAGGGTGTCCGAGCGGGCAAACACGTTTTGTAAAACAGGCATTACTTGGCAACCTTAAGATTATGATTACGATAAGATTAGGAGTTCAAATCCCTGTGGCAGAGATGTGCTGGCAATAATCCTCTCCTCTCTCCACTGGTCCAGGAAAAACTCTGTATAGTATAAAAAGACGAGGGAAGAGAGAGAAAAAAAGGCCCTATCTGACCACTCTTTTCCTCATCAATAATTTTTTTTTTTTACCCTAACTTACATTAAAAACTTACTTTTAAACACTCTCTTGAAGTTTCTTCTCGTCTTTACTTATTTCTTCAAAAAGCCTTTTAAGGTTACAACTTTTATTTTTATAAATATATACCGAGCTTTCATAGGTTTGGGTTTTTGCATATTTCTAGTTTTTTTACTTTTACTTCATATGTTAGATAGTTCCTCTATTTTTTTATTATTGGTGGCCAATTTCTTAAGGAAAAATACTTTCAAGGAATTTAACCTAATTCTGAATCTAATTTGTTTTTCAATTTTGTTCCTTTACTTGATCTAGCTATTTTTCAATACAATATTGTTAATTATATTGTTTGGTTATACTTGATTAATATGACATTATATTGTTCATAGTAACGAAAAAAGAATTTGTCTATGAGAGCTGTTCTGATGATGAAACAAAAGAAGAAGTAAAGGAAAATAAAGAAAACAACACTAAAGAGGATAAAACAGCTCAGAAAACTCCATTAAAAAAAAATGAAGTTTCTCCAAATAATGTGAAACAAAATAAATCACCTAATAATGATAAAAGTAACAAACAATCCTCAATTACCAACTTTTTTAAGAGAAAGGCTGTAACTTAACATTTTTGAATTATTCAACCCATTATTGTTTATATAACAGCCTTAAAACCTCAGTGTATTCATTTACTGATGTCACAAATTTAGCTGTAAAACATTGAAATGTTGATTTCCTTTTTAACAAGGTCATTCATGATAAAACTGTTAATTTGTTACTGATTGTAAATAATGTGATGTTACAAGATATGGTTTAGATTTATATTTTTAAATATTGTAAACACTTTATGTTATACAGAATGTAGAAATGTTACCTTTTTAATTATACAAAATCTTTCATATGTAATTTTTTTTAATTTAACCTGTATATGTTGCTGTGAAACTGGTAAACAAGTGAAGTATTGTTATTAATTAATCATTTGAAGATTTTTTACTTTCACTTCCCTATAAATGTAATATATAGTAAGGGCAAGTATTGGGATCGTGATAAATTTCGAATCTGAGTTTAAAACAGAAATACATGTTTAAACGTCCCGCGAGTCCAAATAACCAAGTCCCACAAAATGGTGTCTGTGTGTGTGCCTAACTCTTAAACGATAAGAAACTGAAATTATGTGTTTGATGTTTTTATAAGTATGGAATGTTATAGCAACATTTTCGTCAAAATCGGCAACCCGGAAGTGGTACTTCATATCATCGATTTAACACATTTTTACAATTTTCTCAAAAACAGCTCTAACGATTTTGATTAAACTCAGTATATCAGTGTATTATTAAGCATGTTTTAATATAATGTAAATTTTATTCTCATTGATGTTCTCTAATAGTGTTTAAATGGCTAATTTTCAATATTAACTTCCTATAAAGTACCTTTAATTTTTTTTAATTTAAAATAATTAAACATTTCACATTAATCTTTGATATAAAAAATAGTTAAATATAAAATATGAAAGAATTTTATAATTAACTAAAGGAGAAATAGGAGATGGTAACGGATAATAGTTGTAGTAGAGAAACCAAAGAATTACGAGCTCGCCTGATCTTACCCGAAAGATAAGATGTAACATAAGCTTAATATAATGTAGAATCCAACAATATTATGAACATATGCAAATGCAGTTTTCATAAATGCTACCGTTGGTATTATTTAATATTTAATTATTTACAGCGATACAAAAATTATAATTTGTATATAGAAACAAATAAAAATACCCATAATAAAATGTAAATAAATATAGCGGCTATAATTTTTACTTTCACTTTTTACTTAGTCTGAAAATACTTATTTTTGCTGAGAAGAGGGGTGGTAAATGAGCGTCTTGTGATGCGCGCACCAGATTTTTTATTATATTATTAGTGGGTGAGTATCAGAGAAATCTTCCAAATAAAAGCGATACTTGTATACCTCAGATTGCTATTGAAGCTGTTAAGGAGAAATACAGACTGCTATGGTTACCATCTCTTTAGTATTAACATGTTATTACTCAACGTATCATTCAACCACAATAAGTTTGGGTTAACAATTCTGTTCAACTAATGGAGATTAGCTAAAAATTAGCTAACATAATATATTTACCTAATGTCTAATATAGAAATTAGCTCCAAATCATGGTAATTGAACTGCTAAAAAATGAATAGGGATATTTCTGATTAATTCTTATTTTACTCATTTTAACTAAAATTCCCTATTATTTTTTAAGGATTCTTTTATTTGTTAATAAACATATAAAGTAAAAAACAAGTATTCTGGAGCTCATCGTTGAAAACTGACCCAAGTCGTTTTTGATGTCCTCTTCTTTTTGAAATTTCTTTCTATCATGGAGTTCTGCAGAGACCGGAATAAGTGGTAGTGACTTGGAGCTAGGTCTGGTGGATAGAGAGGGTGGGGACAAAAGGTCCCATCCAAGGCTCAATAATTTGTTGCTGTCTTGGTGGAACACAACGCCCTTCCGATCATTCATAACTCTTCAGGATGTTCTCTAAATTCAATGTTATTATATCTTGGAAAGCTGAATTATTGCTCTTCAAAGCTGTATGAATGGTTTTTTGATTTAATGCCTACATAATGAATAAATAAACAAAAACTCCTTATAGGTTTTTATTTTTATTTCCATTTGCATTTTGTTAATGAAAGTCCTGTTGATGTCATTTTGTGTAGTTTTTGTGGCCCTAAATTCATGTTAAATTTCTTTGAGATATCGGTGAAGCTTTTTTATTTTGAAAAAAAAAAATCATGTGAGGGACCCAAACATTAAGCCTGGAAACATAGCCGAACTTGTGCTAATGATTTTCTACTCTTGTGTGCAACACATTTAGGGCCATAGCAATCTCTCGCACTGATTGGGTGAAATTTTAATCAACAATGGCCTTTATATTACTCATTTCAATATCATGTGGGTGACCAGATCGTTGAGCATCGTTGATGTCAAAATATCATGAATGAAACTTGACAAACCAATTTTGACAGGTGCATTTGGTTAAGGCATCATCCCCATAAACACTGCAAATTTTCCTATAAGCTTCTGCAGCATGTTTTCCTTTTTTAAAATAATACATCAAAATATGTCTATAATGAATAATATTTTCTTCCATATTCATAGTGCAGTAGCATACACACAATACTAACCTAGTTTCAAACAAGAGTTAGCAGATATAGTTGTTGACGTATTACAAACAGGATAAACAATCCACCTTATGGATTAATTCATAAGATAAGAAGTGTATCATAGCGACATAAAAATAAGCAGAAAACCGTAAGGACTTTTGTGCCAACTCAATAGTAGTCTTATTTTATTCATTCATGTTAATTATTTGTTATTGATTTTATTTCATTTTTTACTTCGAACTATTGGGGGATGAAATGATATTCTCACCTTCTTTATTTTTATATTGGTGAGAGAAAGGAAAGGAGAGGTCTGGGGGTAAACATAGCGTTTCCTGAAATCTTTGTGTATGACCTCATAAATTTACCTCAGAAATATGGTAACAAGCGAAATATTTTTAAAAAAATTGTATTCTTATTTAATATTAAGGTTTTCTATTTTTTCTTGTTTCTGTTTATTTTGAACACCTTTTCTCATTTCATATCACTCATAAATCATTCGATAATTTCTGATAGTAATAAGATAATAAAAGAAATAATAAAAAGCTTAATTGACCACTTCAGACTGCTTTGGTATATTTCTTTTATGTGATTTTCAGATATTTTATTTGCATGCTAGATAGGCTTGCAGACACTGGAGTAATTCAGTAGTAGGAAGCTGAGCTTCCAATGCTAAAGGGCTCAGGTTCAAATCCAGCTTATGGCAGATATATTATTTATTTTGTTTCATCTGCCTTGGATCGTCTCTAGGGTTGGGAGACACTTCTAGGGCACACCCAGCCTCTTTAAAGTGGTTACTCTTAATTAAATAATTAATTACGAGGGAAAACCCGGCTGTTGGGCATGATCTCCATCAAAGCAAATCCTTTCATAAGTACTATTCCTAAATAGTACTGAATCCAAGACCCTACTTTGATCTTGTAGTAGTACAGGATATGTTTTTTTTTTCAGAATACCCTACATTTAAGTGTTCACCATCCTATTGTTTTTAGTATATTTTTTTATAAATACTTCATTGCTACTATTGCTTCCTTACTACTATACCATTCGTCGCTACTATTTATTATGTCATCAATAAGTTGAATAAAAGTTAGCATGAAATGTCTCCTTACCTTCCCGAACTTGGAAGAAAAATTTGATTCAGGAGTCCTATCACTGTAGCGATTAATTCTATTAGACGTTAGTATTTTCTCTATGTTCGTGAGTGAAAATACTTTAGATATAATAACTACTCTGACTTAATGACGACATCTTAACTAATTATTCAGACTACTAACAATGTCACTCCACTTTCTGACAATTCGATATGCGTGAGCGCAATATGGTTACTCTCTGAATCTGTGGAGGGGTAATTCTTTGCACTACTTACTCTTAGAGCCTTAGATCTAGGAGATTATTCACAAAGTGCTTTGGTTACAAATTTTGTCATAGTGAATTTTGTTAAATTCGCAATTTTGTTTTCTGATTTCCCTGAATGTACAAAAACTACTGACATAAGTTACAAATCAATTAAAAGCTTTAACCAGCAAAGTTCCGTTAAGTTGAAATGAATCATGAAAAAGGAATTAATGTTTTTTGGTTAATGGTTGTGGAACGTGATGATTTGGCCGAGATCATGCTCAACCGCGAGTATTAATTAAGAATATCTTTTTTATAGAGGCCGGGCAAAGCCGTAGGCATTCGGTGCCTCTTCCCTTCCTCGGGGAATGAAGCCATCTTTCCCCTCCCTAAAAAAATTAAATTAATTTCTTAAGCTGTTTTATGTAATGTGATATTTTAATTTTATTTCTTTCAATATTTCTCTAATACAGTTGCTTTATTGTTAGGCTAAAATTAATTATTTTAATACGTTTTGTATTCTTTTTATTTCTAACAAGTGGCTAGCGCCCCTGAATATCGTCCGGCGCCCCCAACAACTCGGAACCCCACCAAATTGGCGCCCCGGGGTGATTGGCTCGGTTGTCCCACCCTAAGGCCGGCCGGCACTGAGGCTGGGTGTGCCACAGGATGACCCCCCATGCTAGGGTCGGTCCACGGCTGATCTAACATATGATATAATTACATTTCACTGTCGGACTCAAACACCTTAGCATAGGAATACATTGTTTTGTTCATTGAGCCCCTAGCTCCCAATGGCTTTCAAAATGTTTAAAATATCTCTTTATACGCGAGTACTGCAAGCAAGCCTATAGATTTTTACAACCCCAGGGCAAAAAAAAAGATTAGGAGTGTATTGTTTCATTTCGCCGGATAATGAAATAAATATTAACTTACTCAGTTGAGAATCGAATCATTATAGTTTCAAATCGGATACCTTTAGAATTTAAGGTACTTGTGAACGACGGGGTTCCTATGGACTGCTATCTGTAGTTATCTTGTTATTTGAAGTGTTTTCGTTGTTATTTATATTTCTAAAACCTGAACACTGATAATTGTTATAAGGCACTGATAATCCCTATCTTCATATGGAATTAGACTGTCGTATAATAAGAAATGTAAATATATTTGGTGTTGCCTTTTTTTTCCCTGTTTCTTATTACTATATATGTATATAATTACAACTTTTCTTTAATCGACCTTTGAGTATTAAATTTAAACATTAGCATTTAATTGGGAATAAAGTCACTTATTGAACAAGCGACAATGAGTGAAGTTATTCCCAATTAAATGGTTATGTTTAAATATATATATATATATATATATTTATTAATAAGAAATATAAATATAATAAAAATATAGTAATTT